GGGCGCGGGCCGGGCCGGGCGGGAAACTGAGGCCGGGGCGGGGGTGGGGACGGACAGGAGGACACGGGGGGTTGGGGTGAGGGCCGGCTGCGGGTGCAGGGGTCAACCGAGGCCCCCGAGGGAGGGCGGGCCTGGGCGGAGACACCGGGCGGGAGGCCTTGCAGGGGACAGTCCGAGGAGGATCTGGGACCCGGTCATGGGACCCGGTGGCGGGGCCTGTTGGCCACCGCAGGGACTCGGCTTGAGAGGACTTCTAGGCAGCAGCACATGACTGATGCTGGAGGGGGCCGGAGCAGGGCGGGCTGCGGAATGCTGCTCCTCTGCAAGGCTGGTCAGGGGTCAGGGTGGGCGACTGTCTCAAGAAGAACACACGGGAGGGCCAGGCCCTCCCGGTTGACGTTAGCAGAGACCTCTCTGGACAGGGGTGCCCTGAGAGCCTGGCTCCGGCTGTGTGTTTTCTGGTTAACTGAGGGAAGCAGAAAAGCCTCTTTCTGCAGAGCTGGTGGCACCACGTGGTCTCGCCATTCCTTCACCCTTGGGGTCCTTCCCACCAGGTCTCCAGCCCCAGTTCCCTGGCTGTCCCTGGCTCCCCAGAGCACTCTTCTCCAGGCAAGAAGACAAAGAAGGCCGCCATCTCAGCAGATCAGCTGTCCCCTCTAGCAGCTGAGGAGGACAAGGTAAGGAGGCGGGACAAGAGCCAGGGAGGTGGAGTGGTGTGGGGGTGACCAGCCAGCTGACAGCAGCCTGTGTCCACAGGTCCCGTCAAAGGTCACCTTCTCTGAGCTCAAGTCGTGCCTGCAGCGGGCGTGGGAGCTGGGGGCACGGGTCCAGGAGCTGAGAACAAGTGCCCAGAGGAAGGATGCTGAGGAACCCAGCGCGCCAGAGGCCGAGGGGCACCCATTGGGGCCATGGTGAGTCCTGGGTGGGTGGTCAGGCACCCCAGGAAGGGTAGGCTGGTGCGAGGCCTGGCAGGGGCAGGACCGGGCAGAGGGCCAAGGGCTGCTCTTAACAGGGAGGCAGTGCAGTCGACAGGGCGCTCAGATCCCAGCTCTGCCGCTGGCTGGCTCTGCGCCCTCTGTCTCCATCTGTGAGAGGGCGCCAGTTCCTGCCTCAGGGGGCCCTGGTGAATTTCGAATGATATCGACAGCCAGTGGTTATTGGGTATTTGCCACCATGTGCCTCTTAGAGATAAAGAAACTAGGGCTGGGGGTGGCCAGGGACCTCCGTGGGTGACAGGCAGGACATGGCAGGGCTGATTTGAAGCCACGATTCTGTCTCCATCCCTGACAGTGCTCGTGACGGGGAGTCAGTGAGCTTGCAAGGCTTGTGAACTGTGCGCTGTGTGTTGTGGGGGTGGTTTTGCAAGCCCCAGCTCTGGGGTCTCCCGGCCTCTTGGCCTGCAGTTGGGTGCTGGGGGTGGTCTGGTGCTTCTCTCAAGGCCAGCTCCCCCCCAGCAGTGGAGAGAAGGTGCCCGCCTACCAGCGCTTCCACACCCTGGCCCAGCCCGGACCCCCGGGCCTCGTGCTGCCCTATAAGTACCTGGTGCTGGCCGAGATGTTCCGCAGCATGGACACCATTGTGGGCATGCTCTACAACCGCTCTGAGACTGTGACCTTCGCCAAGGTCAAGCAGGGCGTCCAGGACATGATGCGCAAGTGAGTGGGCTGTTTTGCGGGGGCGGGGCTCGCCCTGACCGCGGAGTCTGTGACCTGCTGGGTTCTCTGACCCTGGGACTCTCGGCCCACAGGCGCTTTGAGGAACGCAACGTGGGTCAGATCAAAACTGTGTACCCTGCCTCATACCGCTTCCGCCAGGAGCGCGATGTCCCAACCTTCAAGGACAGCATCAAGAAGTCTGATTACCAGCTCACCATCGAGCCGCTGCTGGAGCAGGGTGTGTGCTGTGACCGAGTCTCCTCATCTTTGAGCCTTGGTTCCCCACCTGTGACCCTGCACCATCTTGAGCATGAGTGTGAGGCGTCGGGGGCTGGGCCTCGTCTGAGACCCGTGCTCGTGGGGCTGGGCTGCTGGGTGGGCCTGGCCCAGGGGCTCAGGCCTGGACTCTCCCCGCAGAGGCCAGTGGCGCGGCCCCCCAGCTCACAGCCTCGCGTCTCCTGCAGCGACGTCAGGTCTTCAGCCAGAATTTGGTCGAGCGTGTCCGGGAGCACCACAGGGTGAGCAGGCGGTCCTGAGATGACCAGCTTGGTCCTTGTGGTACGGGGTGTCTTCCGGAACAGGCCTTGTGCTGGGCCCTGCTCTCTGTTCCCTCCTTCAGTGCTCACGCCTTCCCGGCCATCACAGCCCCCCATTACCCAGCAGGGAACAGTCCCTTCTCTAGAGGCCGAGTTCTAGAGTCCTCTTAACCAGGCTCCACGGCCATCTCAGACAGATGGGTGGCTTGGGGCTGGGCGGGGACCCTGGCCCTGGCTCCCAGCTGAGGAGCAGGGGTCTCAGGGCTGCAGCCTCAGGTCCCAGGAGGCTCGTGGTGAGTTGAGTGGGTGCTCCAAGTCACCTCAGTCCAGCTGAGCTCCTGGGGCCTGGAGAGGTGAAGTGACTTCACTGAGGTCGCCCAGCTGGGAGGGGAACCCGGACAGCCCTGCCCCACCCCCACGCAGATGTGCCCAGGGTCACCTGGCACCCCTCTTCCTCACACAGGCCTTCCTGGCCTCCCTGCACCCCCCCGTGGTGGTGCCCGAAGACCAGCTGATGCGCTGGCATCCCCGCTTCAACGTGGACGAAGTGCCTGACATCGAGCCGGCCGAGCTGCCCCGGCCGCCCACTATGGAGAAGCTGGCCACGGCCCAGGAGGTGCTGGCCCGTGCCCGCAGCCTGATGTCACCCAGGGTGAGGCGGGCCTCCTGCAGGCGGGCACCTGACAGGCTCCATCCTCAGCCGTGGCCCTTGGGGGTGGTGGGATGTGCCACCCACCGGCAGGCTCTCCCTGGGGTGACACCCACAGGCCCCAATGCACTGGGTGAGCTTGGGCTGCACAGACAAGGACTCCTGGGAGGGGGGTCCATGCAGACAGGCCTGTGGCTGGGCTGGGGGAGGCTTTTCTTGACCTTTCCCCTCTGATCTGCCCCAGATGGAGAAGGCCTTGAGTGACCTGGCCCTGCGCACAGCCGACCCCAGCAGCCTCAGGTCCCCCAGCCCAGCACTGCCAGCCACTCCACCTGCCACCCCGCCCACTGCCCTAAAGGGGGTGTCCCAGGCCCTGCTGGAGCGGGTGAGTATTCTGGGTCTCCATGGGGGGGCTGAGGGCCAGCTGACCACTGATCACTCGCTGTGCCCGCTGCAGATCCGGGCCAAGGAGGTGCAGAAGCAGCTGGCACAGATGACGCGGCGCCCAGAGCAGGAGCAGCGGCTGCAGCAGCTTGAGCGGTTGCCCGAGCTGGCCCGCGTGCTGCGCAGTGTCTTCGTGTCTGAGCGCAAGCCAGCGCTCACGATGGAGGTGGCCTGCGCCAGGATGGTGGGCAGCTACCGTGCGGCCATGAGCCCTGGTGCGTGCGGGGGCTGGGCTCCCTCCCTGTGTCCCTGAGCTCCAGGTCAGGGTGGGGCCCATAATTTGCTGTTCCCTGCATGTGCCTTCAGTGCCTGCTGTGTGCACTGGGGGCTCAGCGCCGAGCCTCCACCCGGCCCCCTCTGCCCCTGTGGCCTCACAAGGCTGCCTCCCCTCACACACTGGGCCTTGTTGCCCCTGCAGTCCCTCAGTTGGCCCTGAGGCCCCATGGGACTGCCCGCTCTCTCCAAGGTCTCTGGCCCCTCAGAGCTGTGGGGTGTTTGCAGGCTGGGACTCCTATTGGGTTCATTGGGAGGGCTACCTCCTTGGCGAGGCTGCGGTCACTGCCCTGGCTCAAGCCCTTCCCGTCGTCACTGTTTACTCCTTCACTTCTTGAGGGCACAGATGGGTCCAGCCCAGGCCTGGCTCATGGTGGGTCCGGGGGAGGGGCTCGGGGGTGGGAGCTGGCCCTAAGGAAGGCCTGTTGGCAGGCGCCCCTTACAGATGTGCACACAAGCCCAGAGGTCCGGGTTGCCGGCCCCGCCTCACGCCCCTTCTCTCTGCAGGGGAGATGGAGAAGCATGTACAGCTTCTCTCTGAGCTGCTGCCTGACTGGCTCAGCCTCCACCGCATCCGCACTGACACCTACATCAAGCTGGACAAAGCCGCTGACCTGTCAGGCATCACTGCACGGCTGGCTCGCCTGGCCCATGCCGAGGCGGCGCTGTGAGCCTGGCGGCCGTGAGCCACCACCAAGATGTGGGCTCCAGGCTCCCTTGCCCGCCCCACCCCCCCGCCTGTTTTATCTCCTTTACGAACACAATGCACTTTGCTCTCCCTTTCCCAAGTCCCCACGGGGGTCAGAGGCTGGACTGGGCTCTGCATGGTCTGAGGGTCTCCAGCCAAGGTGGGTGGTGGGCCCACCCCTGTACAGCATGTTGTCATTAAACTGGTTTCTGTTGGTGACTGTCCTTGCGGCTGTTGGGGGTGCGGGGAAGTGGGTGGGGAGAGGGCTCTGCTGTCGGCACAGGTTGGGGTGGTGTGGTGGGCAGAGTAACACCCCAGGCGTCCACCTAAGGACCTGGAGTTGGGAGACTCTCATCACAGGGTCCTTCTGAGACTGGGAGATGGTACACCGCAGGCTGTGAGCTGAAATGTGTGAGCACCTCTAGAAGCTGGGGAAGGCGGGAAACAGATTCTCCCCGGAGCCTCCAGAGGAACCAGCCCTGCGACACTGACATTAGCACTTCTGACCCCTAGAACCAAAGGATGACGTTTAAACCACCAGGTTGGCATGATTTGTCACAGCAGCAGTGGGACACCAACCTGGCAGCACCTGCCTCCTGAAGCTGCCTGCTCCCCTGTGAGCTGGCTCACAGGGAGGAGAGGACCACAGACTGCAGCAAATGGCACCCTGGCACTTTACCACCTCCCAGGCCCAGGTCCCACCCCGGGGCACCTGGATGAAGAAACAGTCTCTTAAGCAAAGTTGTTTATTCACGATCTCATTTCACTGTAAATGGACTATGGCCTGGGCTGGGCTCTGCCTGGGCCATCAGCTCCACGTGCTGGCACTTCCAGAACCTGCAGGAGGGACCCCAGGCAGAGGTAGGGGCTGGAGAGTTACCCAACCAGAGGCAGAAGAATGAGTCCAGGCGGGTGGCTGGTGGAGGTCATGCAGCTGCTGAGGCTGGAACTCGCCTCTCCTCCAGCTGGTGGGGGCGTGGGATCACTCATACTGCACAACAGAGAAGAAGGGCACTGCCCCCAGCCTCTCCCTGCCCTTCAGCGAGGTCAGCTCCACCAGGCTCACGCACTCCAGCACCTCAGCCCCCAGCTGGCCCAGCAGCTCACAGGCTGCCCGCATGGTTCCTGGTGGGGGTGGTACACGAGTGAGGCCCCCCGGTAGCCTGGGCCACTGGGGGCGGGGGAGGAGGTGGCATGGCCATGGCAGTGCAGGGTCTTGCTCACTGGTCAACTGTAGCGCTGAATCCCTAATCCGCTCTCATGCACAAGGTGAGGCACTTTCTCCCACCCTTACTAGCCCCCTTGGCTCAGGGGAGACCCTCACCACCAGTGGCCAGCAGATCATCCACGATGACCACCTTCTGGCCTGGCTCCACGGCATCTTTCTGGATTTCCAGCTCAGCCTGCAGATGGGAAGTGGGCACGTGGTCCACACGTCTCCAAAAAGAGCTTTGGTGCACAGAGCCCGGGAGCTGACAAGGGGCTACCGGCTAGGCCCTGCTCTAAACCACCGTTTCTTGGCCGTGTGCACCTGGCCCAGTGTCTCAGTCTCAGCCCCCACATCCACTCCAACCATGGCAGCTCCACTTGACTCCACGACTCTCCTTTTGGGAATGGAGGATCCACGGCCACAGCCCAGCCCACTCACCTTCCCGTATTCCAGTGTGTAGGAGGCGGACACGGTGGGACCTGGCAGCTTCCCTTGCTTTCGGATGAGCACGCAGCCCACACCAAGCTCCTGGGCCAGGGAGGGGCCAAACAAGAAGCCTCGGGAGTCTAGGCCTGTTGGTGAGAGTTGGGTGTTGAAAGGCAGCCACGTGGCACAGGAGCAGAGGCGTCCCCATGGGCCAGGGCTGGCCGGTGATGCATAGCCACTGCAGTGACACAGGGTGCCCAGCCTTGCTGGCTCCCCCTAAAAGGCTGATGACATCCATCCATTTAGGGGATGTTGACTGAGCACCCACCATGCACAGGGACTGCTGGGTGCCAGAGGTGGGAGTTAGGAGCTGAGGCCAGGGCCTAGGTCCATCCTACACGGCTGCGTGAACAGCCGCGTGGCCTCAGGAAAGTCACTTGACCTCCCTCCACAGCTCAGCTGCCCATCTGTAGCCGGGCTGGCAGTACCCTATGAAACGCACTCAGCAGACAGCTGTTGTCATCTCTAAAGGCAGTGTCTGCCCTGGGAGCTTCTAGTCCAGAAGAAGAGGGAGGGACAGGGCACTAGCCATCTTCTGTGGTGTACTGAGCTACGATGGGGAAGCTCAGGGCCCCCGCCCCCCGGAAGTGTGGTGAGGGAGGGAGGATTTGAGGCAGGAAGAACCCTCCCTAAGACAGCCACGTGAAGAGGGGCCCCTGGCGGCAGCGGGAGCCACGGGAGGCGCAGGGGGGTGGGGCTCTCACGGAGAGGCAAGGCTGCCACGGTCCTCCCCCATCTCCTCTGCGCCTTCCTGAAGCCCCATATTGGGTAAAGTGAGTGGCATACAGCAGGCGCTCAATACACGCGTGTGAACCGGGAACAGAAAAGAAGGGCAAGAGGAGAGAGCGCTCGGCGCAACGGACTCTGGTCCGACTGTCGGGCTCTGGTCAGAAGTCCCCGGAAAATTCAGCCACGTGGCCTCACCTGTCCAGGGCTGGGGACCAGGAACTTGGGGGGCCTTCCCTCCGCTCCGCTCCCCGCAAGGGCATACCCACCAGGCAGAAACCGTTCCCCAGGCCGCGGGGGGGGGGGGCCTGCCGCCCCTCTCAGGGCTGCAAAGTGGGGGCAGCAGGTCTATCCTTACAACCCACGTGAGGGCTGCCACGCAAGCACCTGCGCGGGCGTGTCCCCTGAAGGACCCCCTCCCAGAGCCCTCTCCAAGCAAGGGTGGGTGGCCCTTCGCCTTCCCTGCTTGGCGGCCCCCGCCCTCACGGGCCTGGCACAGACCCCTCCGGGCCTGCGGGCGGAGGACAAGGAGGCAGGAAGGGCTGGCCCTGGACACCGAAGGGCACGGCGGCGGGAGGAGGCCCCGGGAGTCAAGGTCCCACCGCCGCCTGTCCACTTGCCGGCGATGTAGTCGATCTTGGAGCCGTGGGTTTTTTTCAGGTGACTGGCCAGGAGGCTGATGCAGGCGCGGAAGGAGTCGGGGTCCTTCAGGACGGGCGCGATGTCCCTGCGCGCGAGCAGGATGGGTCAAACCCGCACACAGCCCGGTGGGGCGGGGACCCGGCCCGGGGACCGTCGCCGACTGAGCCCAGGCCCGCCGTCCCTCCGCGTTTGCCACCCGCCCGCGGCTCACACCGTCCGACGGCTGCCCGTCCGCGTGACCCCACATGGCGCGCCCGCGCGCACCTGAACAGCACGCCCTGGATGGGGAAGTCCGGGAAGCTGCGGATGCGCCGCGCAACCAGCTCTCGCTCGGACTCGGCCATGGCTGCGTCTGCTCGTGCGCGGCCAGGGCGGGGCGTCCGCTCGTGCCCGGCCGGGGCCGGGGGTGGGGCCAGCTCGAGGGGCGGGGCTCGGCGCGTCTGCGGGGCGGGGCGCCTGCGCGGGGGCGGGGCCCGCCGTCGTCTGTAGGAAGTACCGTACTTCATCGAATCTTCGGTGCTATCGATTTTAAGACGCGCGCTTATTTCTTGAACCCTGAACACACGCGTCCCTGCCTCAGGGAACGTTCACGCGGGGCCGAGGTGCGAGTCAAGGTCGATGGAATACGGCGTCCACGCAGGCCCGGCCGGGCTTTCCGAGAAATCGTCGCGCAGTTTGGCGGGGCCGGTGAGCGCCCGCGGTCCTCTGGGCAGCTTTGACCCGGACCCCAGGCCTCAGGCGAGCGCGCACCCGCCTCGCCGTCGCCGCGCCCGTTTTCTTCCTTCCTTCCTGGACGGGTCTCGGCTGAGGTCCTGCTGCGCGGGGCACGCGGGCGCACACACATGGACGCACACAGGGACACACGGGGTGCACACGCACGGGCGCGTCCTGGGCCTTCGGTCCAGGAGAGCGCCGGGTGAATGCGGACGGGAGCAGGGGGCGTTTCAGAGCGCACTGCAGAGGCCTGGAGCGGAGGGTCCGAGTAGGGAGCAGTTCAGGGAGGAGCAGCGGGCCTGGGATGGACTGGCCAGCGAGGGGCCGAACCAGAGGTGGGGGCCTGGGTGTCTGCTGCCTGCCGGACTCTGGGGGACAGTGGGGAGGAGGGAATGCTGGGACCCATGGCCTAGTGGAGGCCCACCCCGTGCCTGCGGAGGCGGCTGTGGCACCCCTCAGCCTTGGGGCAGAAAGACCAATCTCACTCCAGCCCCCGCACCGCGGTACCCAGGGAGAACAACGTCCCCTAAACGTAATCTTGTTAAAAAAAAAAAAAAGCTAAACTGCCCGTCTTCCTTTATTTTGAAACTGTTTCTTGCATAATTTTCCGACTCTTACAACAATACAGCTTTGGCATGACAGTCGCCCCAGGGACCTGAAAACCCCTCAATGGCAGGCGGCCAACGTGCCTTCAGGGTGCAAAGGCGGGAGTCAGCGTTTGGTCGCCTGGGCTCTTCTGATTTTGGCCAGTGAAAACGGCTCATCCTCATGCTCCGCCACAGGGACGCTGAGGGGAGGAGGGCGGGCAGGGAGGCTGTGAGGCACAGACAGCCTCACAGTGTGCTGGGGTCAGGGTCTGGATCCCTAAGGAAAGTGGGAAACTGAGCATACTGACATCCTCATGTCTCCCGGGGAAGCGGCAGCATCAGCTGTCCCCACTGGGCCAGGGAGGCCTTGGCTGTGGAGGATCCGGGTCAGGAAGGCCCTTTGCCTCCTCCCCCTCCACACACACAAACGACCCTGCCGGCCAAGAGTGGTGCAGGGCGGGGGGGCTGAAGTACAAGAGGAACAGCCCGGGGCAGCCGCTGTGAGTCACCCCCTCCCCCAGGTCCTGGAATGGAGGTGCGGTCCTGGACAAGGCCAGTCTGGGAGTGGTCTGAGCCAGAGAGGGAGGATGTGAGACGGGCAGGGTCCTGAGACCTGCGAGGCTGCGTTCAGCTGGGGCTGACATGGGCCGTGGGCCCAAGGTGGCAGGGTCACGCTGGCCAGGAGGGCTCAGAAATGACTCCAGGGCCGGGTCAGGCAAGTGTGGTCTTGCAGGTCCTGCGGCTGGCTGCAGGTGACATCCATCTGGCTGTGAGCAGGGCAGAGGGCCACTGGGGCTCTTCCAGCTTGGGAGTCCCGAGGCCAGAGCCTTCCTGCCCCCAGGCACTTGCAGGGCCAGTGGGCTCAGGCAGGTGCTAGTGGGGCCAGGAGCACTTCTCAGGGACAGACTCCGGGGGCGTCAGGCACTTCCCTGACTTTTCACAGCCTGGGGGCGCCCAGTTCTGGGAAATAAAAATTTGGAAAGAGAATATGCAGTTATCCAAGCACTTCCAGACTCAGCAGTTTCCAGACTACTGCCCGGCCGGGGCCACGCCCTGCCCCATCTGACTGGCTGCCATGAGGAAACTGCCTGTCTCCACCTCCACCCAGGAGGCAGCTCAGTGCCTCTCACCAGGCTGGCCAGGAGGGCAGGAGGCCCAGGCCCAGGGTGTGGGTGGCTGGGTGCCGGGCCTGCTGCCTGACCCCTCTGTTATCAAGGGGAACGTCTGCTGACCATCCTGTAACCCCTGACCTGGTTTCCAACTCAAGGAACCTGTGATAAGAGGCGCCAGGTTCCACGGAGCCCCACGGAGCCAGGTTCCATGGTGGCTCCCTTGGGTGTGCACGTGAACGTGCAGACTTGCTTTATGTGGCCACACTTTTCCTGGCAACAGAAGGGGAGACCCATGCCCCTAAGAGGGAGCCTTCCTGGCTTTGCCGTGTCCCCCATTGCCCAGGGGGTGCCCCTGTCCACCCAGATTCTGGCAGACCCAGAATCACTCTGGAGCGGGCTGGACCGAGTCTGTGTGTTAATGACTCGGAGCATCGACGACCGAGAGCCCCGGGTAGAGCCCTCGCCCGCCCTGGATGGCATCCGTGGCCCTGTGGTCATGCAGGCCCCGGCTGCTGGGGAGAGGGACCAGGTCTGGTTAGGAAGCTGCTCCCAACCTTTGAGGCAACCAGAGAAAGCAGAAGAGCGTGTGCAGAACAGATTCTGGGCCCACCTGCGAGTCGGGGGGGTCGGAGAGGGCCGACACCCGTGTTTCTTAAAGGCTCCTCAGGTGTCTGATGCACAGCGTGACAGCCAACCACTGCGACAGGCTGCACAGGACTGATGTTGTCACAGAGACTAGAGGACACCACACTGCGTCCTTAGCCCAGCTGGCCTGGACATGAGGGGTCGGGCTGAGCTGGGGGCTGGATGTGGGGGCCCAGGCTGAGCTGGGGGTGTGTGAAGCAGGGGCCGAGGGCAGAGAGCGGAACCTTTCCAACATCTGGGGATTGGGGGGGCAGGGGTGTGAAGTGGACGAATGAGGGGCCCCTCAGGCTTTGCGCACTCACACACATGCCCATGCATGTTCACACGTGTAAACCCACGCACCTCTCTGGTGGCAGTGCTCACTTTAAAGTCTGAAGACCAACCCACACTGGTCCTGTTGGTCTCCAGTTCACTTTTGGGGCTTGCGGGGTCCCCGCTTGCTCCTGTTCCAGGGCGCGGCCGGGCTGCGGCAGTTTTCGTGTCGCCCAGGAGATGGCAGCAGTGCCCCAGCCAGGTCCCTCTGCCTCGCCCTTGCTCCGTCCCCTCCCATCACTAAGAACTCCTCTGTCTCTGCGTCTCTACGCATTGGGAAGGCAGCTGCTACCTGGAGACTCAGCCTGCACCTGCGGAGCGGTCGTGGGTGTTCCTGAGACAGAGGGCCCTGCTCCACTGCTGTGAGTGCACAGGGTGGTGCCTCCTGGCGCCCCTCTGAGGAAGGGGGATGCCCTGCTGGCCCCCGCCTGACTGTCCTCCTGTGGTGAGCCTTGGGACATAAAGCCCTAGACGTGGACAACAGCGACAAGGCCTACCCGCCCCCC